TATACCCGTATCTCACTTACTGTTTCGGTACCCTACATCACTCTCACCAAACAGGAAAACTAGAAGTCTATTTTGAAAATGGCCGTGTTTCGAAGTCAAGAAAACATTGAAGAAGTTTCGGCAGTTGCAACAGAAGGATTTTGTGCAATATGCATTAGAGATGGGCACGGGACTAGATATTTAATCCCGATCCCGCCCATCCTGAAATTCTATTTTTAAGTCCCGAACGTTTTTCAGAAGCAGAAGTCTTTGAAGATTTAAAAATATTTATCTCAATGATAATTATTATGACAAGACTTTTATAATATAAGTCTCAAAATAAAAGTCTTTGAAGACTTAAAAATATTTATCTCGCTAATAATTATTATAAAAAGACTTTTATAATTCTTACGAAAATTTGGATGACTTTTTTAAAACTTCACCATGAAATAATTATTATTCTGGGTCTCTGATTGAAACGATCGGTTGAGATTTCAACGTTTATGGCGAGGTTTGCAAGCCGATAGAAGGTTGACACAATTGTTCATGTCTTTCAAATAAATAATAAAAATAATAATGAAAGATCTGGCACCTTCCTATTATTTTTTTCTTTTTCGCCTCAATAAAACTTTAAAAGAGCATATTTCAAACATCGTTTTTAAGGAAGATTTTGTGAATTTGCGGGGGTTGCGGTTTTATCGGGAGTGTCGGGAAAGGATTTTGGTCCCGTCCCGCCCGCCATATTTTTGCAGATCTTCCCGATACCGCCCATCCCGGCCAATTTTAAATCAGTACCGTGGGTCCCGCGGGTCCCGCTATCCCACGCCCATCCCTAATATGCATGCAACCTCTACAAAGCAACCAAGAATATCTTTTGACAAGTTGTAATCATGTTTATCATTGCAATTGCATAAAGACATGGTTAACAAACTGCTCGGAATGTCCTTGTTGTAGACAATTATGCCACCCTCGCGATATACAACCAATTACTATTAATGTTGCGTCTAACGGCGACAGCCACAATCGCTCAAAAAATTCTAATAACAACAATTCAACTCGCCCGAAGGAGAAAAAACGTTATCATAGTCGCTCCCAAAGACAGCTTAGTGCTGACGTAACTCAAGCTTCAACTAAAAAAGACCAAGCAGGCGTTGTTGCAAACTTAACATTACCACTGCTCCAACTCGGAGATACACCAGGTTCACATATTCATACTACCAGGAATAAGAAGCAAAATTGTAGTAATACTTTTGACAGGTCAAATCGAAATTCCCACCAAAATAATCCCAATCGGTTAAATTATGTGAATATTGAACAAATTATAGAAGCTAGTATTACGCGGTGTCTTGCTACTTTAAATATACAATATACAGATTGGTACTGGAGGTACCACAAACAGGTACTCAGGATCGAGTGGTCTTCTCTTTGTGCCGCTTTATGGTACCAATTTAAAGAATTTCGATCAAGGTATGACATTATGGAAGAAATCCGGAACCGGAAGCAAAAATCAAATGACTCATTTGAGTCATTTTACGATGATATTACTTCCATAATTGATCGCTTAGCAGAACCAATTGAAGAATCAGAGATAAAAGAACTAATTTCTCGTAATTTACGTTCCGACATTCGGCATAAATTGCTATATGTGCCAATTCATTCAAAAGCGCATTTACGCATGTTATGTCAAAAGCGCGAAAACTTATTATGTGCAGAAAACACCAGGCGCTTACCGCCATCTCGAAACTATGCAAAGAACGTGCCAAGGCCCCAAATTTCAATGTTTGACACTCAGTCAGACGAAAACTAAATTGTTAATACGGAAGCGGAAGTAGCTGCTTTACATGACACCGATTCAAGCAGACTTATTGTGTGCTGGAATCGCGATGGTAGTGGACACACTTGGGATATGTGTGTACAAGACCGGAAAATTTTCTGCTATGGATGTAGCGAGAAAAATGTATATAAGCCTCAGTGACTACAATGAGATTCGAAATCGTATATTTGCAGGTGAAGTTTCCCTTACAAAAATTAAACGTTCAACGCTTAGATTACGCAACTTTTGGAAAGCCTTACGTGAAAATAGAAGAAAATTAGTTTCAACTGTAATAACTGATGAATNCAACTTTTGGAAAGCCTTACGTGAAAATAGAAGAAAATTAGTTTCAACTGATGAAACAGGAAATATGTATTTTGCCGAAGTGCAGTTTTTACATTTTAGGATTGCTTGATACTGGTGCTAATATCAGTGTAATCGGCGCAGATTTAGCTAAAACTGATTTTTCGCATATTTCCACACTTCGCAAGGTGTCTTCCTCGGCCGCAACTGCTGATGGGAAATCACACGCAATTGTTGGTACAATTTCGTAGACATGAAATACGGGACAGAAGTTAAATCCACTAAATTACATATTATGCCATCATTGTCTAGAAGGCTTATATTGGGTGTAAACTTCTGGAAAGAGTTTCGATTAGCTCCCAATATCATTGCAGCAATTTCTTCTTCTGATGAAAATGCTGGATGCTGGCCCTGCTGATGAGAAATGTTATCCTTTAACTGGTAACCAAAGGAAACAGCTGCAGGCTGTGAAGTCTTTATTTCCAAACCTCGAAACGCAGGGTTTAGGTAAAACTAAGTTAATCAGGACGAAATCGATAGCGGAAATGCAAAACCCTTCAAGCAAAGGTTTTATCCTATGTCGCCTGCTGTAGGAATTGTTAATGTTTAAGGAAATCGACAGGATTGCCAGACGTACTGATTTTATCAGTACAGTACCGATTTTTCAGTATCAGTACGCTAATGTCCTGATTTTTCAAACTTTGTACTGAGTTTTTTTTATTTATTTATTTATTTAGTCTACAGAAAAATGTTTTCTTACAGACAATTGAGATAAAAAGATTTAGATATTTAAGCATTTATGATATATCGATTCTATCTCAAAAAACTTTTGAAGAACGCCCTATTTCAGAATTCGTTTCAAAAACGCCCTATCTCAGTTGCCGATTCAAAAAAGCCCTATATCAGCATATTTTCAATACATTTTGAAGTGGGATAGGGCGTTTTTGAACCGAATTTTGAGATAGGGTGTTTTTCAATAAAATTCTGAAATAGGGCGTTCTTGAAAAGTTTTTTGAGATAGAGCGTTTTCGAACTGGCAGCCGAGATAGGTCGATCTTCCACTCAGCCATCGATATACAGAGTGAACTAATTATACATATTAACTTTTAAAGATAATAATGATATACAATAGCAATTTGGGTAGCGGGCGAGGCCTAGTCTCCAGTCTACTTTTGTGTGCGGCGGGCGGAAATACCTAGTTTCCGCTCCGCGCTGTTTACGGGCCCTTGATTATGGACGGAAAGGCCGAGCTTCCGATCCATGTTCCCGTAGTCATTACTTTGTATGTGAGGCAGGCGGAAAGTCCTAGTTTCGGCTCCGCGCTATAGACGAACTGTTGGGCGTGGTCGGAAAGGCCGAGTTTCCGATCCCTGCTCATATTGTCCTACGCGGTCGCGAAAATATACGAAGCCGTTACAATTGTACTAAGCAGTAGGGCTGGTTACTTCATCCGGATTATTCTACTATCCGGATAAACCGAATATTCGAATATCCGGATAGCTAAATGAAAAATCTGGTTACTCTGGCAGCTAAGATAATATTCGGCTATCCGAATATCCGGATTTTTCGTTATCAAAACGATACTTTCATTTTCCAATACCTGGCGCTCATAAATGCGTAGTAACAAGTTTTCTATTTCTACGCACAAAATTGTTTGTATAAATTTTAAAATTTCCAAAATTATACTTTGTAATTTCAAAGGCTTCTACAAACGAATTAAAAAGTTCAACAAACAAATATATGCGTATAGAAAACTTGCTACTTCATATACATGAGCGCCTGGTATTGGGAAATTAAAGTATCGCATCGTAAAAATAAAAAATAAAATAAAATTGACCGCGAGAGTTTTTTCATGGCTTTAAAATATCATGGACGGAATAATGAAAGCTATTACGATACTTTTGGTCGTGGTGAACTTTTTACCAAATTGTAGCATTTCTAAAATTGATGACAAGAATAGTGCCATTTGTTTATATTGTGACAAAACGATACAAAACAAAAGGTCAACTTCAAGTCCGTCAAGAGCTAATTCACTCTATCGTGTGCATAATTGAATTCACGAATATTATTAATCAGTTTTGATTTTTTTCAGTGTTGATTTTTTGGATATCTGAAAATACGAATATTATATATGCGGATAGTCCAAGCCCTACTAAGCAGTCATAGATATTGTGTAATTTTTCCGTTCACGGTTACAGATATTAGTTTATTTAGTTAACTTGTTGAGCAAAGTTTTCTTTATTACAAAAAGCGATTCAGATGTGTCGAAGCAATCATAATGTTTGTTAAAATCTTGGCATAAACACCGAAGAGCATCATGCATTTCAAAGTTTGATTTACAAATACTCAACACAATAGGTTTAAAGTGTCTCGTGGGTCTTGTAGGAATACAAAAATTTATCTCACTCAGTAAAAAGGGACTACTGACCATCCCGTTCATTAATTTAATTGAGAAAAGAACACCAAGCATCTCTCTACGACTCTGAATCGTCGGCAAATCTATAAGCTTCAGGTGATCCTTGTAGGGTGGGAGATTTTTAGACGAGTCCCAACAAAATTTTTGGGGGGAAATAACATGAACTGTTTCTGCACTGATTCGAGCCTGTCACTATGAATTTGTTATCTAGGATATAGATGCATACTCCAAAATCGGTCTAACTAGAGAAGTAAAGAGAACTTTAGTGACATAAGGATCGTTGAACTCCTTGGCCCAGCGCTTAAGAAAAGCCAACACGCAGGAGTTTATGTGAGACTTGAATTCTAGTTTCGGATCCATAGTTACACCTAGGTCAATGAAATTGGTCACTTGCTCAACATTGTGGTCAGATATCATATACGAATTTGGGTAGAACGATTTTCTAGAGGTCATGAATTTACACTTTTTCAAATTGAGTGACATGGAATTTGCTTCACACCACTCGAAAATGCTGGTTAGGTCAGCTTGCAAATGCTCCCTATCTTCTGCAGTACTAATGTACTTAAAGAGCTTAACGTCATCAGCTTACATCAAGTATTTCGAGTAATTAACACCTTAGGAAGGTCATTTATAAATAAAATAAACAAGACGGGACCAAGATGGCTACCCTGAGGTACGCCGGACGTGACAATTATTGGCCGGGAGGTACAATTTTTAAAAATTACTCTTTGTTTCCTATCCACTAAGTAAGAAGAAAGCCAGCTGAGAAGAATAGGAGGGAAACCAATTCGATCAAGTTTATATATAGGGGTTGAATGAGATACTTTATCAAATGCCTTGCTGAAATCAGTGTAAATCACGTCCGTTCGAAGATTGTTTTTAAACCCATTAGACACATAAGTAGTGAATTCAAGAAGATTGGATACAGTTGATTTACCTTTGCATAAATCGTGTTGCGATAGATCAATAGCAGAAGTAATAGAGTGAGATAGTTCTTCCGTAACGATTGCCTCAAAAACTTTAGGAGTAGCACAAAGCTTCGGAATTCCTCTATAGTTTACGATGTTAGTCCTACTTCCATTTTTATAAAGTGACAAGATAAACGAATCCTTCCAGGAAGATGGGAAGACACCCTGTTTTAGGGAAGCATTAAAAATATTTGTCAGAGGCTTATACAAATACTCTGCACAACTTTTAAGAACACTTATGGGTATACCGTCTGGGCCATGTATATTAGGGCGGGTCGAAAATCGAATTTTTCACAAATCCCTTGGTAATAGTGGAAATATATTGTATCATGAAGTCAGCAACAAGCCTGCAAAATATTAGTATTTTATTTTAATTGTGAGAGCCCGGGCATCGACCGCCAAGTGACCCACAGCACACTATTTGAATAAGACCAATTCTTGTTCAAAATTCTGGGTCCAGTAAAAAGGGTTGTGTATATTATTAGATAATGAATCCTTTAACGCAAAAGATAAAGTCAAGTATCATTTCGCGCAGCCCTTTATCTTATCGTTAATCTCAAACTCATCTATTTTCAAGAAAATTTTAATTGTTCTCTTGATAATTGCACTGGCTTATAGTCAAAAGATGTAAGTAACAGCATTAATATTTCTGACGTGAATTTAGGACGCTGATTCCAAATAGTCTAATCTTTTTTTAATATTGGCTATAGTTTGCGAATTTTTGCAAATTTAGGAACAATTTCGGTAGCTCTAATAGAATGTTTATGCAAATGAGTATGGAAACACTGAACAGGCACAACTTCTAGAAACACTAATTAGTTTACTTATGTTTATGCATACAATTTAAAAATTGCAAATATAGCAAAATGACAAAAAAATTTTGTTTACAATTTTTGTATTTTAAAATAATTGGTTTATAATCTGAACGATTTTCATCATATTATTATCATAAATCAGTAACAGTATCATAAATAAGTAACATTACGTACCCATCGAGTAACATTTACCAAAGTTATATCGAAAAAATTAAGTGGATATCCAGTTTTTTTCTAAAAAAATTTCTCTTCAATTGTATAAATAACCTGTAAATAAAAGACCCGGATTACAGAAAACTGTGTTAAAGCTGAATGCAAAGCAATATCGTCCAATTGGAGAGTCCTCAAAAGGATTTCCCAGGATATGTTAAAGACTATTGCATTTACCTACAGAAACTTTTTTACATAATGGAATTAACTAAAATATTTATGTATATCTAAACACTTATTGCACGTCCCCTACTTCATACAACGGCAAATTTAGAAACCGCGAAAAATGTGCTTCTCTTCCTATTCTTTGACAATACATTCATTCGCCACGATCTTGAAAACTGACCAAATCGGCGTGACCAAGTCCATGGTCATTTTAATATTATATAAACATCCGAAAATATTAAAACGTTTGAAATAAATCTCGTCTCACTTTTTTTTCTTTTTCACTTTCTTGCTGAAGTAATGAAGAATTGAAAATTGATAAGGGAAAATTATAGTTTTTGTAAGTTTTATCTTAATATCGTAAAAACGTATAGACTTATTGAAAAATGATAAATGAACGTGAGGTACTAAATTTAATAGCCTTTAATTTGATATATCGTTCTGTTCATAACAATAACGCATTCAATAGATATTACAAGCCAAAGTTTCATTTTCAACATTTATACACTTTGATTCAATTGCGCGGGCTAAAGATAAGTTTTAAATTAATCTTTCTTGGCCAATAACAATTGGCTAAGACCTAGGACATCATAATATTACTATTACAATGCGGTCAAATGACTTTTATTTTCCCCCATACAAAATCGACCCAGCCTAATGTATATGTATATGCAATTTCCAAACAATTCAAATGAATGAGGACGTCGGCAGCAGATATCGATGGAATTCGGATGCAATCAAATGATGGCAGAAAGAATTTATGCCTAAGAATAGAGTACGCGGAGTAGTGAGAAGACAAGCCAGATTTTTTAAAAAGCTTTAATGCTTTGGATTTTTGANCTTTTATTTTCCCCCATACAAAATCGACCCAGCCTAATGTATATGTATATGCAATTTCCAAACAATTCAAATGAATGAGGACGTCGGCAGCAGATATCGATGGAATTCGGATGCAATCAAATGATGGCAGAAAGAATTTATGCCTAAGAATAGAGTACGCGGAGTAGTGAGAAGACAAGCCAGATTTTTTAAAAAGCTTTAATGCTTTGGATTTTTGAATTTTTAAGCGTTTTAATTCGCCAGTAAACCACTGAGCGTTAGACGTTACGTTAGCTTCCTTAACAAGAGGAATGATTTTACTGAAAATATGGCGTAAGGAATTGCTTCTTCAGCATTCCCATCATACTGGGGCCAAGTTATCTTCGATATCTCTAACCTAAGTTTACTATAATCTGCTGTTTTAAATGAGTAACGCTCCGCTCTTGATTTTTTACTGGTAAAGCAACATGAGTTGCGTGAATTTATCAAGGACAATTCTAGTGGTGGGNGAGAATCAACAGGGGTAATCAAAGCATAGCTAGGGGCTATTGTGACGTTGGAAACATCGTCCACAAAAACTAAATCCAGACATTTACCTAAGTTATTACTAATAGAGTTGATCTGGTAAAGACTAAGGTCTAAAAGATCGTTCAAAAATTGATTGAAGATATCACGAGAGGAATTTGGTACCAGAATACCATCTATTAGATGTAGAGAGAGCAGTAAGGAGGAGTGTTTCAAATAAACAGAAAGGCTCGAGTTAGGTGGTATATAAGCAGCAACAAGATAAACGCTAATAGAATGATATCTTATTCGAACGCAGAGGAATTCAACTTCATCGGTGTCAGTGAACTCAATTTCTTCAGAAGAAAGGTCAGTCTGGACAGCTATTAAGATGCCTCCAGCTTTTTTATTTAAACGGTCGTTTCGAAACACTTCATACTTAGGACACAAAATTTCCGAGTTGAACACATTCGGCTTGAGCCAGGTTTCAGTAAACACCAGTACTTTGAAGTCAAAATCATAGGACTGCAAGTGTAACCTTGATAGCTTTGTGTTCAAACCTCTCACATTTTGGTAGTAAATGCTAATGGTGAGGTTACTTACTAGTTTTTTGATGCCGAGGTGGAAGGCGGAAGTTGAGCCAAATTTTGCCCTTGCGGTCTAGATCTGAATTCAAATTCGCGAATGAAGGCACCGCTTGGCCAAAAAGATGGGCTCATTACTCTATCAAAGCAGTCTTCGGATATGTCTATTTTAAAAGAAGAAATGCTTCTTTCATACGAGAATCTGAACTTGCGTACATGCAACTCATTTGCTATCAGCCTGGAAGTTAAATACCCCTTCACATCATCGACAGTGGTATCTTTTGAAAACCTAGATACAAAGACCGATTTTTTGGAAGGAACAACGATTAAATCCCTCGGGACGGGGTTAACGTAATCGGAAACGGTTTCAGATGTGGTAGGGGCTTGTGGTACAGCTGCCGAATTTTTGGAAGGAGCAACGATGGCTCCGGATGTGGTAGGGGGTTGAGATGTAGCTGTGGAGTTTTTAGAAGGAGCAACGACTACTTCCTTCGGAACGGTGTTGACGCAATCGGAGATGGCTTCAGATGTGGTAGAGGGTTGAGATGAAGCTGTTGAACATGAATTTAGTGAGACTCCAGTAAAAGAAGGACGTGGTTGGGGAGATTCAGTCCGCTGAGGAATCGGTGTGTTAAAACTTATGAGTTCTTTGTTCATAGCTGGAGTCAAAAGTGGGCGGTTCTGCGGAAGATCAAGGTCCACAGTGATGGGATTCAACACAATATTTTCCACGCCTCTGCTACGTANAACTTATGAGTTCTTTGTTCATAGCTGGAGTCAAAAGTGGGCGGTTCTGCGGAAGATCAAGGTCCACAGTGATGGGATTCAACACAATATTTTCCACGCCTCTGCTACGTATTTTAAGACCTTTTCCAGGAGAAGGAGAGGAGGAAGTATCTAATAATTTAAATTCTTTGAATTCATCCTCATTCTTCTTGAACTTCTCGTTGAGAAGTTTTAGCGCTTTGCCTATCTCCGAAAATCCATTTCTAGCGGTTCTAAATAGTTTACAGAGATCCAAAACAGTTTTTTTACACTTTGGACATGACCAGCGAAGTCCATTGTCTCCAATAATCATATCCAGAACTCTCCCATTAATACCAGCGCACTTTAAATGAGACAGTTCATCGCAAAGCCAGCACGCCACAAAACGGTCCGAACCGGCTTTTACATTTCATTTTTCGAACAGACAGGACATTTTCAGCGAATTTTATTAAAAAAGAATAAAAATAGCGAAATTAGGAATCTATTGTACGAAAACGTTTCAAGGTCACAGTAATTGGCAGTTTAATAGCTAGTGGTCTTAGTTAGTGAAGTTCAATGGTTAGAAACCGTTCTGAACTTAACAGTTTTAAAGCCACTGAGTTAGCAAAATCCGCTGTCACCAAGAAAGCGACTGTCGATGATAAACAAAGGTGTGTGTAAAGCGCGAAAGA